GTTCTCCAGTTTCTATCACAATTTTTTACATGCCTTATGAAGGGGTCCTGCAAGACTCCAAAACGTTGCCTTGCTGTAACTATGTGATCGTTTATTAAAACCTTTGGACCCATATATTGGTGATCCTTGGTGTGCTGGTGACCTTTTTCTCCTTGCTGATTTTGTTCGGTTCCAGCCGGCGGTCACTGCAGCACCCACTTATACACACAGCCATTTTGAACACAGGAACGTGTGCGTTTTGGATTGTACACTTTCATATCAATGTAGGGGGACACAAACCTGTAGAGGCTAGACTGCCATTTGGTATCGGGATGAAATCCTTGGACACCTTGTCAGACCCTTGGTTGGTGCAGTGGGTCCTGGGTTCCTCCTATGCACGACAATACCCGGCCTCATGTGACGAATGTATGCAGGCAGTTCCTGGAGGATGAAAGGATTGATACCATTGAATGTCCCCCACACTCGCCTGACCTAAATCCAGTAGAACTCCTCTGGGTTATCATGTTTAAGTCCATCTGATGATGCTAGGTTGCACCTCAGGCTGTCCAGGAGCTTAATGATGCCCTGGTCCAGATCTGGGCGGAAATACCCTAGGACAACATTCGTCGTCCCGTTAGGAGCATGCCCCAATGATGGCATGCATACAAGCACATGAGGGCCATCCAAACTGCTCAGTACCATTTTTGAGTGCACTAGCCTGCTGCATCATTTTTTCACTTTGATTTTTGGGGTGTCTTTGAATTCAGTCCTCTGTAGGTTGATATTTTCAAAATAGATAGTGCCGCGCTCCCATGTACCAATATGTATATATCTTATACTTTCAAAGTGCTAATGAATAGCTTTCAAGATACTGCATGTATCAAACAATTATTACTAGTGACTCAAAACATCATTGTGAATATTAATCTTCATGCAAGTGACATTAATAACTGATAATCCTAAGGTGATAGTGCCTATTAAAGTACAGTGATATACAAATCAGAGATACTCCTCTATTCTACTGTGATCCTTATATTTATATTGTGCAAACACATATATATTATGTGCACGTGCTTATGATATATTCAATAAAAAAAAAAAAAAAAAAAAAAAAAAAAAAGTCTTTCAAAATAAATGTGCAGGTGGATTCTTGGTTCCCTCTCGCCGAGTGCTTAATGGTCTCCCTATGTGCTCACCTCTATATTTGCCTGAATAAATCCAGGCAAATACACTTTTTATCCTTCCAGGATAGATGGGATGGAATGATGCTCTTGAGTTATCTCAGAAGGTGGATGTGGATTTATATTTGTTCTCCTGTAGCTGCTCATGAGTGGGTATACTGACCATCTCTCTGAGGATCTCCCAATTCCCCTCCTGGGGCTGTTTCCTTTTCCAGTCCTCCTTATATCAGCTCAAAGGGTGTTGTTCAATTGAGAAAGGAAGACAAACAGACCATAGTGTCTTATCCTTGTGCAAAAAGGGGGTTTATTGCTGCCAGTTGCACAGTAGTATACAATTGTAGTCCAGCATAAATGTGCTCTGCCTCTGTTCCTGCAGTGCTGTCTACCTGTGTCTGTATTCAGATCACCGAGCCTCTCCAGTGCAATGTCGTGACGTCAGAGCCCCTCTGACTCACGACATTGCACTGGAGAGGCTCGGTGATCTGAATACAGACACAGGTAGACAGCACTGCAGGAACAGAGGCAGAGCACATTTATGCTGGACTACAATTGTATACTACTGTGCAACTGGCAGCAATAAACCCCCTTTTTGCACAAGGATAAGACACTATGGTCTGTTTGTCTTCCTTTCTCAATTGAACAACACCCTTTGAGCTGATATAAGGAGGACTGGAAAAGGAAACAGCCCCAGGAGGGGAATTGGGAGATCCTCAGAGAGATGGTCAGTATACCCACTCATGAGCAGCTACAGGAGAACAAATATAAATCCACATCCACCTTCTGAGATAACTCAAGAGCATCATTCCATCCCATCTATCCTGGAAGGATAAAAAGTGTATTTGCCTGGATTTATTCAGGCAAATATAGAGGTGAGCACATAGGGAGACCATTAAGCACTCGGCGAGAGGGAACCAAGAATCCACCTGCACATTTATTTTGAAAGACCTTTTTTTTTTTTTTTTTTTTTTTTTTTTTTTTATTGAATATATCATAAGCACGTGCACATAATATATATGTGTTTGCACAATATAAATATAAGGATCACAGTAGAATAGAGGAGTATCTCTGATTTGTATATCACTGTACTTTAATAGGCACTATCACCTTAGGATTATCAGTTATTAATGTCACTTGCATGAAGATTAATATTCACAATGATGTTTTGAGTCACTAGTAATAATTGTTTGATACATGCAGTATCTTGAAAGCTATTCATTAGCACTTTGAAAGTATAAGATATACATATTGGTACATGGGAGCGCGGCACTATCTATTTTGAAAATATTATATATACACTAGCATATGAGTCAGTGCAAGTGCCAGCGAACCTCACGTGAGAAATAAGGACATCTAAAGTCACATATTGAACACCTCATTTCATAATAGCTCACAAGCATTCACCATTTATATTTATTCACACTCTGTAGGTTGATGATTTTCATTTCCATCAAACGATGGGGCATCCTTACGTTCCTAACACATTTACCATTTCTTATCAGTATAGATATCCAGCTTGATATTTTTCCTGATTGAGATCTGATTTCAAAGTGTTTCTAACAAATTACAGTGGCCATTTTCCTGGAGACCATCCTGATAACATATACCCAAAAATCCTAGATCACAATTAGACCATAAATGATGAAAGAATATAACATGAAAATGGACTACACATAATCCAAAATAAGAATCTTTAAATAAAATGTATATACATACCCAAGAAACAGCCCCCACTTATAGGTTATATATGGCCATATAATTGAGAACTACAAGTAGACGGCCGCTAAGGCTATCCGGACTTGTTTCTCATTCACAGAGGAGTGACTTTGCTGGGCGGGTGGAGCCCCAGACTGCCGTGTGTGTGTGTGTGTGTGTGTGTGTGTGTGTTTTTTTTTTTTTTTTTTTTTTTTTTTTTCTCCAATTTGACAGCTCCTCCACTAGCTGTCAACACAGGGGATTGGCGGGGAGCTAGGGCCAGTGCTTTCATTGCATGTAACATCCTGAATATGGGTGTGTCTTGGAAATTCGTTTTAACTAATTTCTCCTTACCGTGAGTACTCGCAGTTGGATGCGCAGAAAATCCCCCATAAAGCTGTGCAAATCTCGCTTACCACGACTGCAGCTAAACTACACGATTCCTGCCCATCCAACTGGGTTAGCTTCTGTTGAGATGTGGGGGATGGAGCTCCCTATACCTGGAAATGATCACACGACACTTTCAGGTTGCTGTTGGAATTCACATAGAGACTGGCTTCAGACTCAGCCCCTGGTTTTATTAAAAACACACACATGCCCCCCACATGAATAAGGTCAATCCCCTCCCACAGAACAATGTAATGGGGAGTGCCTATACACAGGATGTACATTCCGATTGGAGCATAGCCTTTCCTATTTTCTATCACTGGTCCTCCCCCATGAGCCCTCTGAGGTCAGCAGACTTCCTCCCCTTCCCCCCATGAGCCCTCCATGGAGAGCATACTTCCTGTCCTAGTAGCTCCCATTGGTATGTAAATTCTTTGTACAAGCATTCCCTAGAAACATCAGTCTGTACCTGGATGGGCCCGATACGATCTTTATTAAAACACATCCATCCAGATACAGTTCAGGTTGGTAATGGCTTGTAAGATATGCATAAGCCTACACGCGGAGTTCACACCGCTTGGCGCTTTGCGTTATGAAGTCCATGTGGTACTATGCTGCTGATATGTGGATACAGGCCCGCGGCCTACTTCCGGCGGCATTCGCATCGAATGCCGTGGTGGTATACACGCCGGTCTATAAGCGCAGATCTGCCATCTCATCCATTACCGAGCTGAGTACTGTAATACATACATTGTACATGCGCATGACCCAATTGCAGCCTTCAGAGCTTTAATTAAGCCACACGAGAGACATATGAATAACACTCATGACACATTTAAAGTTCAACCAACAATACAAAATTTCCATGACAGGTGTAACATGTTAAGAAAGATGAACTTATCCTTTAACACTTTGGGGAGTATGCTCTGCTACCAGTGTAAACCAGGTTGTAATATTCTGAGGTATATTCTTCTTTTGTGTCAACCTTCACACTACACAAGATATCTGGTTCCTTTTCTTGAATCCATAGAGGTCCAATAGCCTGCCACATTCCTTGTGGAAGACATTTAAACTTCGTTCACTTAACTTCCACTGAGAGGCACAGTAGCCACCTGTGGTGTAAACATTAAGCATATAGTTTTCTTGATGTGCTTCTTCCTCCCAAGGATGCTAAATTTTATGATTTTATCCATTTTTTTTGCCTTTATAAATGAAAGATAAACTGTTTTCATTTGCAAAATACACGTGTTTGGTTTTTTTTTTAACTTGCAGCTGTTTTATAGTGAAAAAAAAACCCCAAAAAAACTCTGAAGCAGCCAACACTGCTTGAATTTTTATCACTTCAGATTGCAGCAGAGTTAGTATCTGTATATCCATTGTCACTGCCTCCATCACCCCCAGGTCATTCATCAATGGCCCATTGAGTAGATTACACACAATACTCGCACAGATGAGATGAATCTCCATAACGTAAGGGGAATGCCACTCAGTTGTTTCCATAACAGGTGTCTCATTGGAAGAGTTGCTCACTTGTTACTAGTGACAGCTTTAAATATTGGATTTCCTCCAATTTGGCTTGATGAAATTTGTCACTAGCGTATATAAAGCATTATTTCTTCTAAGCAGAGACATTCTTAAGGTTTGCCTATACCTACATGCTGACTTGCGTTGCTTCTTAGTATTTATATCTTTTTTTTTTTTTTTCCTGTCCTGCTGAATGTAAGCGTACTACAAAATTATGTATTTGCTTGTTTCTTCCAGTTTCCCTGATTGTTATGCAGCAGAATTCAGCTCTTTGCATGAGGTTGGAGAAGGGCAAGGAGGAGTGCCTCTTGAGCACTTGATTACCTGTGTTCCTGGTGTCAACATTGCAACTACACAGAATGGGATTAAAGTAGTTAAGTGGATACACAACAAACCTCCGCCCCCAAATTCTGGTGAGTGTTTGTGTAATGTAATTTAACCCTAATAAGCCCCATGGGATTCTAACTCATCCTTGCTTTGTAATAAAAGAAAAAAAAAAAAAGCTTTCAACATTCAATACAAAATCCTTTTTTGGTCACAAACCAGGATAAAATTGTGATCATGCTTTTGGCCAGCCTTGGCCTTTATCAAAACAGATTATCTTTCGTACGGGTGGTAGTTCCTACTTCCCTCCTGGGAAGCATGAATTGTTTTTCAGAAGTGGCTTGCACATGGTTTGGATGAGATACAGTCACTCACCTAATGCCTGTGGGTTTTTTTTTTTTTTTTTTTTTCCCAGCTGAGCAGGGATGAACAAGTGCAGCCTTGTTTGCTGTACTGGACTAGTTTTGCTCTCAGGATCACTGCCCCTGTTCCCGTACTGAAAAGGTACTGACGCAGGGAGAGGAGGAAGAACCCAGCTGGTGTCATTTTCTGGTTCCAATCTGGAGTAGTGGCAGCCTGGCACTCCGGAACCAACATTTAAGCCATGCTTCTTGGCTGCAGGCTCTGCAGTATGGAGACAACAGAGTCCTTAGCAGCAGTGGTGACAGGTGCTGGCACCAGTAAAGCCCAGGTAAAGAGAACAGTGTTCGTCTTACTGTGCTAGGCTTTTTGTCTCTTCCCTTGTTGGCTGGTGCCTGTCTGGGCAGTTGAATTGTGGGTGTCTCTTCATGTGCACCTGTTATGGCGATTTGAGGTGCTGGGGCTGTTGATTAAGGTCTCGGTTAGAACAACTTGTTTGTCCTTTTTTTTGACCATTTATACTTTGGTCGTAATAAGCCTAAAGGACAAGTGTTGGTTCATCCTCTTATTTATGATCCCATTAAAAGGGAATGGCAGGATCCAGAGAGGACCGTTGTTTTTTTTTTGTTCAATCAAATTCCTAAGCTAGACGCAGCCTTTTCCAAGGTCTCCAAATGCTTCAATTTAGCCTTTGAAGAAACAGGCAACCTTAAAGAGGTGATGGATAAGTGGATGAATCCTCTGCTTAAAAGATTTTGGCAGTCCATAATGGGGAATCTGAAGCCTGCTATAGCAACTACCTGTGTTGATAGAAACTTGGAGTATTGGCTAAACCAATTAAAAAGAGAGAGAGATAGATCTATATAGATATACTGTGTGTGTGTATGTATATATATATATGTGTGTGTGTGTGTGTGTGTGTGTGTGTGTGTGTGTGTATATAGCGAGAGAGAGATATCAAAGAGGGGATTTTGGATTCTTTTTTGATTTTGTGTAAGGCTGTAGGATATCTAATGGATGCCGCAGCCAAATACAATAGGATGTCTGCCAGATCAGTGGCGCTCACCAGTTCCGCCCGCAGAGCTTTAATGCTAAAGGCTTGGCTGGGAGTTTCAGCCTCAAAAACAAAGTTGTGTGATATACCGTTCTTAGGTGACCTACTTTTTGGTCCAGAATTGGAATCCATTCTAGTTTGTATGGCTGTCAAAATGAAATCTTTTCCATTTTAAAGAAAAAATACAGCCATCTAACGTAACTGTTGATGGGCAAATCTAAGTTAAGGAAAAAGGCTTGAACCTCCCAAAAGTCCAGGAACAAAGGTGTATGTCCTTTTCCATCCTACACATTCCAAAACGTCGCATTAACTGTTCCCTTCCAGTATGGATAAGATTGGAGGGGTTCCTTCCTCAATGGCAAGACATTACCTCAAATCCATTTAATTTGGGTATTCTCTCCTGAGGATATAACATGAAATTTGCATATCCCTACCAAGAAGTTTTTTGGTGATGGATATTCCAAAAGATTGCGTAAAATCTCTAGTGATGGAAGTTTCTAATCCAGGAACTTACAATGGTGACGGTGCTGCCATAAAAACAGCAGTGTTTCTATTTCCACATATTCTAATCGTAAAACCATCAGGAAAATTCTGGCCAATTCTCAGTACAAGACTGTTGAACAAAGCAACGCTATATGAAAGTTTTCTGATGAACTTCATATTTTCAGTAAGGAATCCCCTTGTGTAAGGTTGCTACAAGACATCAATCATCCTGAAGGTTGCCTACAATCCTCATTCCCACTTGTGATCAAATATCAGAATTTCCTTAGGCGAGCGGTAGGATCAGGCGGTAAGGTAGTCGATTTTACAGTTCAAAGCTCTACTTTTTGGTCTTTCATCCGCTCAATTAGTATTTTACAAAGGTATTGGCTGAAACCATGATTCCTTATCTCAAAGATTTCCTTTTCTTTGAAACTTCAGAGAAGTTGCCAGAGGATCTGTCACTTACTAGCACCAGTTAGTCTGGGCTGGATTTAAATAACCAAATGTCAAATTTAGGACCTGCTCAGGAGGTTCTTTTCCTAGGCTACCTGGTCAGTTTGGTCGAGTAAAACCTTTTTCTTCTGAAGGACAGCGAATTTGCAAGCTGCCATGGCCTTGATAGAATCCAATCAGCCCCTGGTTATCAGAAATCTGATGTTGGCTCTGGGTTTTCTAACTTCTGCCACCCCAGAAATTCAATTGTCAAGGCCACATTTTCGCCTACTTCAATTTCTTCTGCAGGTGTGGTATAGGTGGGTTATCTCATTGGATACCGTGGTGAGGATTCCTACTCAAGTAGAGTGGACACGATGATGGTGGAGGGACCACAGAAATCTTACAGTGGGCCTGTTATGGTCCTTTATGGTAATCTTCCCACAAATGCCAACTCCTGGGGCTGGGGTGCTCACTTGGAGCAGAAAATAGCACAGGTTCTTGGATGGAGACCCAAGTAACACATTCCTCAAGTTGGATGGAAATAAAAGCTGTTGTGGTAGCTATATTAGCCATATCTATCTTCTTCCCTTTTTTTTTTCTTAAGGATCATGTTCACGTCTTTTCAGACAATGCCTCTTTATCAGTCAAGGGGGCACTGTTTAGGACCCTATAGAATTTAGCAGAAGATATCCTTTTCTGAACAGAGGGGCATCTGGAGTCCTCATAGGCAGTACACTTGCAAGGCAGTTTGAATTTGGGGGACTGACTTCTTGAGCAGACACCATGTGTGGGAGAAGTATATTCCATAATGGAGTAATGGATGTGTCCTCAGGTGGACCTCTTTGCAAATCCGCACAATACTGAGGTCCCAATAATTTTCTCTTTGGACAAAAGAGAGTTCCTTAGGGATATATGCACTGGTGTATCTCTGGGACCATCTTTGTTATGCTTTTCCCCCATTACAACTGATCCTGCAAGCGCTAAGGAAGATCCAGCAAAAAAGTCTGTCATCATTATAGTGCCTTTTTGGCCCAAATGTGCATGGTTCTCTCTACGCTCCTCCATCTGGAATTCAAACCTTTCTTGGCCTCTTCCAGTCAGACAGGACCTGCTTCTACAGGCACTTTTGCATTATCTGGAAGTAGCTAAGTAAAGCCTCTCAGCTTGGCTTATGAGAAGCAGCTCTTAGAATAGAATTTTCAAGCATCTAGTTTCTACTCTAGTTACTTATATTCTAAGAGCCATCTATGGCCAAATATGGAGAGTAGAACTTTAAGAACGGCTGGGGGAGTGGGTGGACCTGCACTTACAGCCTTTGGTATTGCCTCTGCCAGGGTATGTTTGTAATGCAAGTGTTTTGTCTCAGGTATCATCCCTACCTTGGTCTCGGGGATACTTGTGTGTGAAACTGGACGTTCAAGCCTTATATTCTTTATTCACCAAGGATGCTGGAGTGAGTGCTGTGAAGTATCATTTGTTTAAATATGTGTCCTATTCATTGGCAGATGGAATTTTTGTTAACACTGTATTTTTTTTTTTTTTCTATTCGATGGCCAGTATTTTTTCTCCAGTGTTATGGGAGTCTATGGGGGCAAACTTCTCGTCCTCCATTGCCAATTTATACATGAGGTGGTGGGAGGAATTATTTTTCTTCCACAATCAATTAAAGACGTTTGTTTATTGGAATGGTTGTTATATTGACTACCTGTTGATGGTATGTGATGGATGGACTGATGCCAGTGACATGTTTTTTGGATTATATTGATGGCCAACTCAATCTTTATTTTAAATGTGAGCATCATTTTGATTCCTTTTAGTTTTTTGGATGCTACATTGCAGTGAAATGCAGTTACAGATGTTATTTTGTGCACTTACCATAAGCCATGCTCTGATAACACCATTCCACTTGATAAGAGTTGCCATCCATCCCACACCATCTCTGGTATAACCAGTTGGTGAATTCACTGATTTTATGCTTTCAATGAGGAATGCATTCTTATTAGTGTTTGATTAATACAGAGGAGCTTACCAATGTGGTCCATAAAAAGAGATAAGAACATTGCTAGCAATAAGAATAGTAAGGATCTTTTAGAGTGGTAGGAGAATAATTTTGGTTGTGGATTTTCAGAACTGCCAGTTAGGTTTGTAACCACCCTTTTTTTTTTTTTTTTTTTTTTTTTTTTTCAAAAAAATATTGACACGTAGTTGATATTAAGAAAAATCTGCCAGTCTTGTACTCTGATTAAACAGCTTTTCCGGGTACTTCAGAGGGGATGTAAGTTTGTAAGTTGCCATACTCCTACTTTAGGTAGCCTACTCTCCCCTAGTATATTTATTCCAACAATGCTCCACCCACTTGGTTGTCACAACTTGGTTCTTATCCCTGTGTTCTGAACACTTGTGGATACTGTCATCCGGTTTAACATTTCAGGACTTTTGATACTATAGCCACAGGAGAAAATTTTGAAACATCAATTGTGGTACAAGTTTTGTTGCTTAAATAGTGTACACTGCAAGCTGTCTACAATATGTAGCTTGTACTACCCAAGCTTTGAGGACTAGAATAGGTGAACATTTTTTATGACTTGAGCAATCTTAATGCTAAATTTATCCCCAGTACCTCTCTGCATTTTAGAGAACATGTCAGAGCACATTCTCCCTGCTTTGAGGGGGGTGATCGCTATTTCAGGTTGCTTGAGCGGGAGGCCTGGTGGATTTGTAGGTTGCAGACCAGAGTCCCACAGGGGTTAAAGCTCGGGTTGGACCTGAATCTGCACCTCTGGTAATTCCTCCTTGCTTTCTCTGTGGAGATCAATGGGTTTTTTTTTTTGTATACATCCTTTTATCTTTTTATCTTTTTTTTTTTTTTTTTTCTTACCGTGCTGCTGGACCTCTACTTGTTTTCTAAAAGTATGAGAGCGTGTACAATTCTTAGTTTGACTACTCAGGTCATCTGTTGGAAGATCTTGCCTTTATTTGGGATTTTCAGAGAAGGGTGCAGACAAGGTGCAAGTAGCTACTGTAGAGGCTTGACTTGTGGTAAGATTTTTCAGGGCTCTAACCCCTTCCAGAACCCATGCCAGTTAAGGTCTTTCTAAAACAGAATCTTTCAGTGGTCTTGTAGGTTCTAACAAAGAATTTGTTTGAACCTTTCAACCTGTAGAGCACCTCTGAAGTTTTACTTTTAAAGACTGTTCTTTTGATAGCAGTGACTTCTGCACACAGAATCGGTGAATTACAGGCTCTCGATTAAGGAACCTTTTTTGTCCATTTTACAGATTGGTTTGTATTAAGGACAGATCTAGGATTTCTGCCAAAGGTTAGCTCCATTTACCACCGTTTTTAGGACATTGTCCTCCCAACTCTGTCAGAATCCATTAGGAGGAAAAAACTTTAATTCATTGGATGTGGGATAGACATTATTACATTAACTGAAGGTGACAAAAGCCTTTAGGAGCACAGATTCCTGAAGGCAACGAAGGGTTCCATTGCCAGATGGCTATTACAGAAAATTTTTTTTTTTTTCAAATTAACATATTTTTCTCTTGGAATTTGAGGTACACCGTTCCCACCCCTGTGTGTTTTTGCTGGCTCCAGGTATTAGTTTTTTCCAAAACTGAGGTATATTGGGTAGAGGGAGTTAGACATGGCTAGCTTAGTTTTTGTTTGTCAGTGTCCCAGTCTCCTGTAGGTGGCAGTATAAACTGGACTGTGTTTTAAAGTGTTACTAACCCCAGGACCTGGCCTTCGCTACATCTGGTCTCCCACAGTACACACAACATGGAAATGCAATTATTTTAGTAAAATAATTTTCTCATCAGCAGTTAGAGCAGTCTTGTGACTTCAGCAGAACACTTGTTAAAGATTGTAGGAGGCGTTTTCTCTAGGAGGATGGTAATCCCCTGACCTCTGCCTTCACTCTGCTGATTGGCCCTGTGCTGATCACATGCACTCTCCCAAGAAGAAAAAAATAAATAAAACCTCTCTAGCCATACACAACAAACTGAGCATGTGCATGGGGCTACGGATTCAGTTTGTATCAGGTGGTCATTTGAGGGGCAGAGAAGAAAGAAGAAACGGCCCTTTTACACAATGCAGAGGATTAACCCCTTAGGTTGCACAATGAGTATAACAAGTAGGCTTTACTGCATATACAGACGGACTTTACTGTTGTGGGTTTACTAACACTTTAATTTTCAGTCTACTTCAATTGACTCCAGTCAGATTTCATGGTAAGTGGGGGGGGGGGGGGGGGGGATTCTCAACTGTGTGATCAAAAAGGCTATTGTGTTAGCATTTGTTTCTATACAACTAAAGAATAATGCAGCTTTACACCAGCACTTGTAATGATGTAATGCGTGTAATCAGTTTGAACATGGGGTGATCATATCTTGATGAGTTCTGTGGTTTTTTTTTTTTTTTTTTTTTATTGGCCCTTAGATCCTTGGATGTTGCGATCCAAGAGCCCAGTTGGGAACCCTCAGTTGATACAGTTCAGTCGAGAAGTGATTGACCTGTTAAAAAATCAACCCTCGTGCATTATGCCGGTCACTAAGTTTATACCAATTTATCACCACCATTTTGCAAAACAATGCCGTGTGTCTGATTATGGCTACACAAAGCTGATGGAACTTCTTGAAGCTGTGCCACATGTTCTGCAGGTAAGCAACTTTAGTGATACCCCCTGCATCCCCTTCTGCAACAACACCCCCACCCCTTGGAGAATAACTGCATAACTGATCACACCTTTTTTCACATGTGAGGTTCTTCTATTCTTCCTATCCTTTTTCTTTAGGAGTTTAAGGTTGTACTTACATTTGATAAGATCTTTGAGACATTTAACTTTGAGAGAAACACAAGTGGAGGTTAAGAGTTTCTAATCAATTACAAAGCTTGTGTTGAGTAGATCTAGATTCTCAGACATGCACTCCCTTTAAAATCCTGTTGCCTGTCAGATCCTACTGCATGCATACACGCTTGCAGTCTCCATTCAGTCCTATAGGCAATTTGTATGCTGCTTGTCCTGGCATCAGTTTTTGATGAGGTTGTGGCTAAGCAGGCCACACAGCAAGAATTCCACAGAGCAGGTGGAAATAAGTATGATACTTGCCAAAGGGATTAATGGGAGGGCACAAGAGCATCATAAATATAAGTCCTCAAAGTTTTCTAGTTGATGGATCCCTTACATTTTTATATTTTGTATGCTTCATTGCCGCCACTTCGAACCATGTTAGCTGATCATAACACAGTAGCATTTGTCTGTAGATGTATTTATTGTTCATTTTTCTGTACAGATTCTTGGCATGGGCTCCAAACGTTTCTTGACTCTAACTCATAGAGCACAGGTAAAGCGTTTTACCCAAGATCTTTTAAAACTTCTCAAGTCCCAAGCTAGCAAACAGGTTATTGTAAAGGAATTCTTACAAGCATACCACTGGTGAGTATATGTAGCTAGTAATTTCTTTATCTTGTAATTTCACTGGGTATGCCCACATTCTGATCAATGACACATAAAGGTGTGAATGTTTTTTACTAAAGCATAAATTGCATATATTTTTAACTGCAAAATATAATCCCTTTTCTGCCAATCCCTGTCTCCCATTTTTCACCTCAGGTGGAAAACAGAAGTGTAAATAATAATAAGTAGCTTAGTGTATTTTCACTTCATTTTATAATTAATTGTGCTCATTCACATAGCAGAATTTAGAAATGTTGCTTACCTTTTTTTTTTTTTTATTTGCTCTTTTCAAAAACATCCAAAGCTGTAAAGTTTCCTGTGCTATGCCGAGGTGGCTGAAAAAGGTGTTTACTGTGCTGGCAGGTCTTCTTATCAGTTGTAAACTAGATTTGAGCACAGTCTGTCAAAACAAAGGGTTAAAGATCTAGAAGCTGATCATCTGCCTTCTTAGTTAACGAGGGGAAATTCGAGGTGTCCCTCTTTGCCAGTGTGGGTCAGATTGCGTTTCCTCATTTCAAATTGTTGAAGTCTGTTTCAAAGAAGCTCCTAGAAAGGTCAGAAATAAATGTGTTTTATAGTAATGTGTGTATTTGCAATAATCTGCTTACTGGTGCATCATAAGAAGTAATGTGCGCACATATAAATTATATATATATTTTTTTTTATATACTTGAACCAGGGGGTGGTGGTAAAAGGATATACACAAACTGTGACAAGTTCTCTTTGGGGAAATAGAGATCTAAACAGACCCCTGAAGTTTACACTTTTGGGGTGAAGGAAGAGATAGAGGAGGTAGGGTCTTCATCTCATCATCCTGCTGCCACTCTGCAGTGCATTGAACGCAGAAATGCTCAGTACTGAGCACTTCCACATCCATTCACTAAAACTGAAGATCAGTAAACCTGTTCACTAAGGTGCTGATGATGAGCCTTTTTGGCCTTGCATATTTTCTACCATTGCTTCAGATTTGGTTAGACCAATGTTCATACTGAAAACTTGTTTGTATATATTGTGACTTAAGAGGTTTTAAACCCTTACGTAACACCCAGTGAAGTGACACCTCAGATGATAGAGATGAAGCCAATCCTCCTACATACAGTTGTACCTGTTTGAATGGCTTTATAGAAGAGATGGCTGAATATAAAGTCCAGAATTTATACAACTTGTCTGAGTCTTCATGGAGCGGAGAGCTGATTGGAGGGAAGGGACACAGCCTCTTCACATAATACGCAGGAACAGAGCTCAGGCTGTCAAACACGTACTGGAGCTCCCTCACCGTCACCTTTTATCTCTAGATGTCAAGAAAACCTGCCAGAAGTGACTTATGCTGATGGCAGTGGATTGAGGCTGCAGACAGAAATGACTAGATTAGTGCTCTAGATTAGGGGTCTCCAAACTTTTCTAAACAAAGGCCTATTTACTGTCCTTCAAATTTTTTTGGGGCCGGACTGTGGCCAGTGGGAGAAGAAAATGTCCTGGCATCAGTGGGAGTAAACAGTGTCCCATCGATTTGTATTAGGGGGAGCAATCGTGCTCCATCAGTGGTATCAATTAGAGGAATTGTACACCCTTAATTGGTGTGAGTGGTAGGAATAGCATCCCATCGTTGGTGTTAGTGGGAGGAATAGTTCCCCATCATTGGTATTAGTGGGAGGAATGGTGCCCCGTCATGGGTGTCAATGGGTGGAATAGTGCCCTATTATTGGTATAAATAGAAAGCATAGTGTCCTTTTTTTCTGTATCAGTGGTGGAAACTATGCCCTACTGTTGCTGACAATGCCCCAAGGGCCACATAAAAGCAAGCAAAGGGCTGCATCTGGCCCCCCAGGTCACAGTTTGGAGACCACTGTTCTAGATTGAGATAAGTACACACTTTGCAGGGATATGATTTGTTCATTAGTTATACATCTCTGACATGAAATGTGAAGAGAGGTGGTTGAGGGATGATATCTTTCACCTCTGAATGCCTTCCTATGTGGGAAACTAAGGTGGAATTTTAGTCCAAGTTTTTTCTGGGCCACTTTGGCAGTGTGAAGCAGGTGTGGGATAAAGCAGGGCTGCAGCAAGAGGGTAGCTCTGGTTTGAGACTCGAGAAAGCTACCAGAGGGAGAGGGATGTGGAAAATTGCTGTAAGAAAAAGAAAAGGTTTGCAAAATGCTTCATGACTGGGAGATTTTTTTCACCTGTCAGAGAGGAATCTGTCCTTTTGTAGAGGGAGACTTGACTTCGGTTAACATCTTGGAGCTGAGGGTGATAACCTTTCCCTTTTGGCAGTGAACATTCCTCCCCTGGGGTTCTTTCAGTCAGAATACAGCCCAACTCCATGACTGTGGTTTATGCCAACCAGCAAGGAGGCACAGGAAGTCATGCAAATCAGAAGGAGACAGATCTGTGCACATGCCGGGAATGCAAGTTTAGCAGGTGGACTAAGTAAAGAGAAATGGATGCTGGGGGAATGGTCCCTACACACGTGCTGTGATTGGGACTCCAGATGTGGACCTCCTGGTGTCCAGGTTCAACAAGAAACTGGACAGCTTTTTGTCAAGAACAACGAATGCTCTAGCATTTGGCAGTAGACTCTGGTTACTCCATGGGATCAATTCCATCTGATTTATGCACTCCCCCTGCTTAGTTATTAACAGGTCTGCTTCACAGAATCAAAGAAAGGAAAGCGCTACGGCTATTCTGATGACCCCAGATTAGCCAAAAAGGTCTTGGTTCTCTGACATTTTTCACAGGTTAACGGAAACGCCTGACCTCTTCGCAGTCATCCAGACATTTTGTCACAAGGTCTCATTTTTCATCCTATTGCATTGTCCCTGCCTAACATGGCTGTTGAGGCCCATGTCCCAAGGAAAGAGGGGACGAAGAATCTGTGATTCCCATGCACTAATTCCCCAGAAAGGTTACTAATCATAAGATATACTATTGTACCTTGAAAGCGCATTTCCTAATATATAGGCAGAAGAACGTTCACCCTTGCCATTATTTCATGGGCCACTTGATTTGCCTTAATACAGTTGAGGATGAATCAAAAATTGGCAGGTCTTTTGTGTTTTTGTTCCCTAGTTTCTCACATATTGAAAGCCTTTGTTCAAGGAGTTGCTAACATCACCTTGTCAGACACCAGAGACCCCTTACCTTGATGCACTAGGTTATACAAAAGCCGCTCTTTGAACTAATCAATGAAAATTCCTTTGGCAGATCTTACCCTTAAGGTGACTTCTTTTCCTATCGCACTAACCTGTGCCCAATGGGTTTGAGGTGGGTGTTCTGTCCTGTAAAGAGCCCTTTTTGATGTTGCGCAAGGAAAAAGTGGTTTTACATCCAAATACTTCCTTTTTACTTAAAGCTGTGTCTGACTTCCACCTTAACAGGAATGTTTTTGCCCTCCCTTTTGCCTTTTTCTTGAGAACCCAGTGGAAACTGCGATCCATGTCTGGATGTGGCATGGCCTATTAGAGTTTACATTGCAATCACAGCCTCTATCAGAAAAATGGACTTGCTTTTTTTTTTTTTTTTTTTTTGTTTGATGTGACCAAAAAGGATCCTTCTGCACTATGATCCATGATTGCAAGGTGAATAATCGTGCTTTTTCTCTGAAGGTTAACGAGTCTGCCTTTCTGATTTATGCTCATTCTATTAGATCTGTTGGTATGTCTTGGGCATTTCAGCATCAGGCTTTTGTTGTGCAGCAGTTTTTTTTTTTTTTTGACAGTCTATTGCAGTCTTTTTCAACTAGGGCGCCTTTAGTTTCTTCAGTGGTGCCTTGGCAAAATGCCTAAAAATTGTCCAAAAATTGTATACAAGCCAGTGGGTGGATGAAGCCTTCCTTCTAGTTAAAGCCACATCTTTTCATTGTGCACAATTGCAACTTTCTAGTCGCCGGCATTCTAACAAATTATGTCATTGGTTGATTTGAAGGATGTCTGGCCCCTTCCCCTCTGTCAGCATTGGGGTCACGTTAGCTGAGTGAGGGAGAGAAGAAAAATTGGAATATTAGTCAGTACCAGTGTGCAAAGGTTTATTTGCTTTAACAGACTAAATTACCTGTAATGTTGGTTATCCTACATGTGGGATATTACTGCATTACAGGTGAAACTCGAAACATTAGAATATCGTGCAAAAGTTAATTTATTTTAGTAATGCAACTTAAAAACTGAAACTAATATGAGATAGACTCATTACATGCAAAGCAAGATAGTTCAAGCCGTGATTTGTCATAATTGTGATGATCATGGCTTACAGCTCATGAAAACCACAAATCCACAATCTCAGATAATTAGAATATTACATGCAATCAATAAAACAAGGATTGTACATAGAACAAGATCGGACCTCTGAAAGGTATAAGCATGCATATGTACTCAGTACTTGGTTTGGGCCCTTTTTGCAGCATATACTGCCTCAATGCGGCATCGCATGGAAGCTATCAGCCTGTGGCACTGCTGAGTTGTTATGGAAGACCAGGATGCTTCAATAGCGGCCTTCAGCTCTTCTGCATTGTTCGGTCTCATGTCTTCTCTTTCTCTTGGCAATGCCCCGTAGATTCTCTATGGGGTTCAGGTCAGGCGAGTTTGCTGGCCAATCAAACACAGTAATCCCACGGTCATTGAACCAGGTTTTTGTGCTTTTGGCAGTGTGGGCAGGTGCCAAGTCCTGCTGGAAAATGAAGTCAGCATCCCCATAAAGCTCTGAGGAAGGAAGCATGAAGTGCTTCAAAATCTCCTGGTAGACGGCTGCATTGACCCTGGACTTAATGAAGCACAGTGGACCAACACCAGCAGGATGACATGGCTCCCCAAATTAACACACTGTGGAAACTTCACACTAGACTTCAAGCATCTTGCAGTGTGTGCCTCTCTATTCTTCCTCTATACTCCTGGGTCCTTGGTTTCCAAATGAGATGCAAAAGTTGCTCTCATCAGAAAAGAGGACTTTGGACCACTGAGCAACAGACCAGGTCTGTTTTTCTTTAG